TGAATTAATTTTTTTTTTCTTTCTTTTTTTTTTCTTCATTTTCTTCCCTTCTTTCACTATTAAAAATGTATTATTTAATATTCTAACTATGCAATAGCTACTATTATTATCCAATTTTCTCCAAAATTTCACTAACAATACTAAACTGTTACACAGAAACTGAGGTTCAAGTTACAAAAAAAAAGGAAAAAGTTACGTATTATTTAAATATAATAACTGAACATACAAGTTGACTCTCGAAAGAAATTAACTAATAATAATGGCATGACGAATGACGTGAATGTCTCCGTAGAAGTAGTTGAGTTTACTTTATCTAATTTTTATAACATAAAGCATGCAATACAAGTATTATGAAAATTGGAAAAACGCCTTGAAAGATTATATATACAAGTGTATTATTGTATACTTGTAGCGCTTAAAAGCCATACTTTCTTCGGGAAATGTTTCAAACTAACGTGAATATCATTCGCAAATGAAACAAAAAAAAAACTATATATATTTCTTTCTATCTATATGTAGGTAAAAATATATAAATAAATAAATAAATAAATAAATAGAATGTGGGCCATAAGTTTGGAACTAATAAAGCTAAAAGTTTCCATGAAAAAACGTATTTTTCTCAATGCCAACGTCAATATTCCACGACTAAAATTATTTTAAATGACTTTGTTTTCGCGCTCGATCGTTCGATCGTTATCGAATTTGATTAATAAACGTGAACTAATTGTTCTTGTTCCAAGCATAAATACAATTTATATTTCTATATTAAAAACAGCACCAACATAATTTCGTACGTTGTCACATTCAACCATTGTAATTAATTATTAAATTGACTGTATGAATTATATATTATTTTAGACTAAATCGAAGCTCGGTCATATTGAATGTACTTCGGCAATTCTTAAAATTTATTTTACACTTAAGAATGCGTAAGTCCGTTCTGAAGATATATAATTTATGCCGTCAATGTTTTATACTTAAAATTATGTAATTATAATATTTTGATGGCTTGTGTAACTTTAAGTTGACTTTAAGCGAACAATTAAAATATAGATTGTCATACTATACACCTACTATATAAGTAATTTAAGTTTTATAAAATTTTGAACTAAAATATGAATGTTTAATTTAACTTCAACCGAGGAAAAATTTTTTTGAAGAATATTTCTATACTTCTTAAAAAATTTTTTTTCCAGGGTTTTTTTTTTCTGTTTTTGTTTTTTTTTGTTTTGAAAACCGTCATCTCTTTCAATAAAATCTGTTGTACGAAATTTAGTTTCAAATTAAAGAAAAAATTCGGACCATTTATATTTTATATAAAATTTCTTTGTAAATAGTTGCGTTGAAAGAAATTATAAAATGAAATCAATAGACAATATTCAATAACACCTCGCTCGAATTATTTCGTACAACATAGAAGTATAAAAAGTTACTCCAAGCAAAATTGCCGAGAGTTTAACAATCGTTTAATCGCATACGACAAATTTCGTATGCAGCAATATTCTTGATTATCTCTTATTCGTTTATACATATGTAATCGGATTGAAAGATGATCTTTCCAAAATATGCCCGATTAAGAGGTAGACCGTTAAGAATATTGATTTTAAATTGTTTCGATAGAAGCAATGTGCGATATAAGATTTAAAATTTTGAAAATACTGATTTTTTTATTAAACTGTCAATATGCTACGAATTATATATCTATATATGATTTGAAATATAAACATATTTTGACAATGATTTTTTATCTAAAATAAATATCAATAGTGAAAGAATTTATTTACACAAGTATTTCTATATTCTTTACTTGCCTGTTTATCACTGATTATTGTATCATTAACTCAAAAGAAACTTTATTTTTCAGTGTATATGACTTTTAAATAATTTTTTTAAGTCTTTCTATGAGAATGAAATAGAGGAAAATAGATAATGATATATATATATATATATATATATATATATATATATATATATATATATCGATAAATAGATTGATCGATAGATTGATAGATAGATAGATAGATAGATATATAGACAGATAAATAGACATTAAATGTTGCTATAAATCTAGCAGAGACTCGTAGAAAACAAAGTTATGTGAAAGCTTTAAGCTCTGAACGAGGAGTATCGATTTAAAGGAGAGCAAGCCAGCAGTGCTTTTACTCGCGCCCACGGACGGAAACTTGATTCAATCTCTCATTTTGAAATTATCATTTTTTTATTCTCTACCTATACTTTTCTTCTGACACTGATATATAGTGGATAGAGGTTATGATTATTTCTCCGATGTGGCTTGGCAAGCGATGCTCATATTATTTTGTCGTACGCACATTTTCATAATTCTATCGCGTCCAGTCATACTTTGCCAATTCATAGTTTGGGTAAATAAAGCTTAATAAGCCTACGATTCTACTATTCTAAGAGCTATTTAATGTTAGAACAAATCAACGCTTTTAATTAGTTAATAATTGTAGAGTTACTAAATATGTGTAATTCTATTATTGCAATTTTTTACTAAAGCCGAGCTTAAGATTCTATGTAAACGCATGGAATATTGTACGAATTTGACTACGAACAGGTATATTTTTATGGAACTAGAGTAAAAATACATTCGAATACTGTTATTCAAAAGTGTATTGAAATTGAAAAATAAGTGGCTTATGACAATGGTAGTGTACAATCGTAAGAACACGAATGTATTGCAATGTGATAGTACAAGGGTCGTACTAACATGAGAGAGAGAGAGAGAGAGAGAGAGAGAGAGAGAGAGAGAGAGAAAGTGGTAGATATTGAATGCTCGGAAAAGCCCAAAAATAAGAAATCACGTGGAGAATCTTGCTTTAATATAATTTTTAGACATAAAGCAGTTTCTCGAAGGTGCATTAAAGGCCTTGAGAGTTGAGAAATGCACGAGCTCTCCTAAGCTATCAGTGGTGAAACTTTGTCCTGACTCCACGTATGCATACATAATTGTATAAAGAATAAGTAAATATTAGACGTCTGACTCGCCGGATAATATGTATTTTACGTCAAGTCGCTATAAAGCTTTGTAACTTGTATTTGGAAATTTTCAGCATTTGCTCTCAATTTGGGTATAGAAAGAAATTTTATTCATTAAAGCGATCTACCATTGAGTCGTAATTTTTATTTCATTATTCTGCTTTTCAAGAAAAGACGAAGGCGAAGTGTCAGCAACTTAATCATTCCTATAATCGTAAAAATTATATTAATAGACCATGGTAACATTGAACGAATGTAATTAGTATTGATAAATTGCAATGAGAATTCCTAACTACGTGTTCACATATCGGGCGAGTAATAAAAGATGCTGCCAGCTAGAATTAATACGATTAATCGGATTTAACTACATATTGTTGAACTTGAATAGAATAAATGATAATTTAAAGCAGGCTATGTGCAAATTACGTAAAATAAAACGTTTCTACGTCAGCCAATAAATATAAATAAATCCATTACCACTTTTTTGTATTCTTTTTACAATTGGTGTATTTTTTCGAATGAAGAGAGAGAGAGAGAGAGAGAGAGAGAGAGAGAGAGAGAGAGAGAGAGAAAGAGACAGACAGACTGACAAGGAAACGAAAATATTAAAAAAAAAATAAATAATTTAACGCATATGCGAAGAAACGAAATAGAATAACCTAATATCACGGTATTGTCTGGTCGATGAAAAGCATTTGGTCGATTACGACATTATACGGGACCAACATTTTTCCAAAACGACTGAATCGTGAAAGCCTAAAGTTCGCCACACTAAAGCTAATAATAGGAACGAACGAAGAAAGCTACAACGATGATAAAATTTTATTAAGCTAAATGTCACGTATATTGGAGCTCATCGAAATTTCCGATCCTACTCCCGGTTTATCCCATTTTGCATAATTAATTCGGTAAATCATAATTATACGATGGTAGATGCGCCGCGCATTAGCACACAACGCCCATAAATATAAAGCCAGCAGCTGTGCGTCAATTTCCTCAGGATGGCGATCGAGTACTTTAGCTTTAGAGTCATAGAATCTTTTAAAATTTCGATCCGCGTTTACAAACAGCTTGACCCGTGTCCGCGATTCCCTCGTGCGCGCTGATCAAGAAGAATCGAATGCGCGTCAACGAGCGCGCCGACGCAATAATAATTAAAATAAAAAAAAAAAAATAATAAAGAAAAAAAAACATATAATAATAATAATAATAATAATAATAATAAATTGCGCGCAATTGATCCGCGCACATACGCGCAATTTCGGAGCGGACAGATCGGCAACAGCAGCGTCATTGTACTCCCGACAACTCGAGAGATATCCTTCGATTAACGATTACGGTTCGTCCTTATTATATAAGGAACGATAAGGTTGGTCGGGGGTTCGGGGGAGGGGGAGTAGGTGTGTGTAGGTAAAGTGGCACCGATGCGGAGCGGCACGAAAGGCTGGTGAGATACGCAAGAGACGCTTGCGAGATGAGCGCCGATCGATACGCGCGCGGCGGTAGCCGTCCTCATCCTCGGCGTGCAGCGGTAGCTCGAGGCAGCTCCACCCTCGCCGCCCTCGGCGACCCCGCCGAGCCCAACCCCGAATACGAAGACGGTGCATTACGTTGGAAACCGAGGCCGGCGTCCCGTATGGCGCCTCGATCTTAGGTTGGGAGCCTGTCCCTGCCGACGTCAGGATTGGGCGCCTCCTCGTCCCTAACGCACCCTATATTAATAGGTTGCGCTGCGCGTCGGGCAGCACCGGTGATGCTGGCAGTAGAGACGGTAACGGAGACGGCAATGGAGACGATGGGGGTGAGGACGGTTGTGGTGGTGGCGGTGGCGTTGATATCGTCGACCGCACCCGCCACCTCCCCACCAGAACCCTCGAAACCGAGCCCCTCTCGTATTCCAGGGCACGGAGCCGACCTCGGAGATTCTTGAAAGCTGCACGGACCAGGTGGTCGATGGCAAAACTGTTGGTGGAATGTGGCAGTGCCGTTATCGTGCAAAGTCAGCCGTCGATAGGCGGCCCACCGAGCGATAAGGCCTGGACGATTCGTGGATCGGCTTTGCTGCCTTCTCGGAATTCCTCGAGAGTTAGCTTATCGTCGTGATTCTTGTCCATCTGATCGAAGATCTTATCGACTCTCTTCTGTGGCGTATTCTCGTCTTCCGCTTGTGGAGCCTGACCCTGGGAACAAATCAAAATTTCGTAAAGCCGTTGAATGGGAAGAGGGACGGCGGGGCGGCTTTATTATGAGTTTCGAGTTTAAATTGGCTTGGTGAAGCAGCGTGAGCAGTGCTGCTAATCGCGTCGTATCGCCTATTGTTGGGAGAATTAAAGTATGTTTGTAGGTTTATCGGCGCTTAAGTTACTAAATGCCTATTAAGCGATATGAAAGCGCGCGGTCGATTATTATCGCAGATAATTAAGTGGTAATTGGAAAATAAAATGATACTCACCACCATTTGATAGATCGCGTCGACAATGTTGTACATCTCATCTCGGGTGATGAAGCCGTCGTTATCGACATCGTAGAGACGGAAAGCCCCTGCGATAAAATAAGTTCATTGAGAATCATCATATTCGGCGGGAGCGAAATACTTAGAAAATCGATTCCAATGGCCGACTGAGGACTTTGCGAAGGATTGCTCCCTCCTTGCGCTCAAGTTCAAATTAAATGACGAGCTTGTACAATTACCGTCTTATCTATTAAAATCGGGGAATCGATCTTTATAGCGTCAATGCAATAAGTCGTCGCTAATAATTATTACGATTTTCAACGAAGCTATTTCAGCATACGTGGACAACAGGTAATTGTACGATCTTGGATTACAATTATTGTCTCCATCCGTCCATTCTCGACTGATTCACAAAAAATTTAATCAAATGACAGAGGGTGAGAGTGAGAGGGGGGGGCGGACAGTTGCAAGTGGCTTGACTAGCAGTTGCTGAAGCATGCGAGCCTACCTAGAATTACAAAAGACGATAAGAAAATCCACTTACAATGTAGCTTTTCATCCAAGTTTCCCCTCGACGTCACAGAGAGCGCCCTAATGAACTCCTCGAATTCTATCGTCCCGTCCTGCAAGTACACCATACATAAGCTCTAGCTCTTTCAATTAAATGAGGCATACATATTATATTTTTTATATTTTGTATTTACCTATTAATCATTGATTTGCATTATAAAGCGTGCTCATATATATATATATATATATATATATATATATAATAAATAATAATAATATTTTCCCTAAGTTTGGGATATTTTTGTGAATTAATATTTGCTTTGAATTTTTTTTATGCATAGTGTCTTTGATACTTCTTTGTAAAAGTATCGTAAATTATGAGATAAACTTCCAAAGCTAATTTCTTTTGTACTGAAGCAGGTACAATGTAAATATAGAGTAGCCAGAATATTATTAATTTATAAAATTTAAACTAAATTATTCATTTACACTCACGAGTAAAAATAATCTTTTATTTTTAGTTTTCGTGAACACTTAATTGCTACACATAATTTTATTCAAATTCTCCAATTTGTATTTAAATAACTCTTACTAAGGAATTTAATATCATACAAAGCGTATTTCTTATATTATATTTATTTTCACACATACATAAAGGCAATAATAAGTCAGATTCTTATCAGATCCAATTATATGTAAACAAATATCTTTTTTTTTCTGAATAATTAGTTTATTCGTGCACTCGTTAAATATCTATAAATGTATTATGAATATCGTGTGAATAAGAATTGATCTTAGTATATTTTTCATTTCATTTTTTTTCTCTTAAATTTCGATCATAAATCGAAATAAAATAATCGTCGTGATTTTATAAAAATAATGCGATATTATTTTATATAACTAACTCAGATAAAATAAAAAACAATATTTACCTTTAGGCGGTTAAATTTTATTATCAATGGATATACATTACATTTATAATATACATTTACGTATAATTCTTATATTGTTTTTTTGTTATTTCTTCTTTGAAATCTATAATAAATCATATTATAAGGAGCATAAACAAAATAATAAAACGTTTAAAAAAAAAAGAAAGGTCAATCGCGATCAACAGCGATTTGAAAATTATTGTCTTAATATATCATTCCTTGCTTCCTACATTAATTTCACCTCTAAATTTATTACAATTTAAATAATGTAAATGTCATATTTTCAATGAAAATTTAATCGATAAACTATTGCAATAAATACCTAAATTAATATTTAATACATATTCTTACTATTCGACAAAACAAAAAAACTAATGTGTGTGACGAATTAATAATTAATTAATAGTCTTAGCTATTAAATAAATAATAACAATATTTTTCTTGTTTTGATCAAGCTCCTTTAATATTAAAATAAAAAAATAATAATAATAATCATTTACAATCGAACTAGATAATATATCCCACGTGAAAATAATTAATTTTATAAGTTGTAGCTTATAAATTGTATTCGATAAAAAATTTTTAAGTAAACAAACGTGATTAACATTATTTTCATTAAACATGAAGAAGCTTATCAAGTATGAGCCATTAACTAAATACCAAATATAAAAATACCCAAATTTTAATCTTAAGGAAATTATATGCATATTGTCAATCGTAATAATCATTTTAAGAAAATATTTTCCAGTCATCATTTAAGAAAAGTTTATTTGAAATAGATTTTATTGAAAATAGCCACATAATGAAGTAGTATTTAACTAATTTAAATACTTGTTGTTTCAAAAATTAGTTAGTGCACACATTAGTATTGATAGTTAAATATTTGCCTTTACCTAATACAATTGAATAACAAGATTCAACGGCATATCAATAATATGATAAAACAAGAGATGGAAGGAACAAGAAATAAGTCGTTAATATCAAAATGTAGTCATCAATTAATCGATGATGTTCACAGTTTCGTTAAAGTTTCTTTATTAAAATTTCATTATAATATTTTTAATGTATTGAAACTTATACTTTAAGTAATCAGAGTCAAACATAATAATTTAGTTTAATGGAATAATGCAGGATTGCTATAAAAAAAAAAAAAAAAAACAAAAAAAAAAAAAACCCGATAACGTGAAACGTAACTGAAACGTTAAATACTAATGTATATATTTAATTAACATGTTGACTTACGTCCTAATAAAATTTTCGCGGATAAAAAATACAATTTTATACACGATGAACATATTTTGGCTCTAAAGGAAAGAAAAACCAAACACGATTGAATGATTACGCTTATACATAAAATAATATACGATTAGTTTATATCGTAAACATATCCTTATAAATAATTATTAAAACATATATTCGTAATATTCCAATTGAATTAAAGTTTTTAATTTAAAAATTTAAAATTGATTCTAGCTAAATTGACATTTATTGCTAAAAATTATAATTTATTGCAGGTATATTCGCACGATAATTAAATAATGTTAAATAAATAGAACATAACGATTTTAACATTGTCGTTTAATTAAAAATAAATATTAATTAATTATAACAATAGCAATAAATGATAAAGCAATAAATAAACAGATAATTATTACAAGAATCAATGATGAATGAATTGAATAATTAATTGAAATAATCATGGGTAATCAATAAAATCAATAATTCATTATAATTTATTATGAGAATGATTAATATCATTTAATTAATCTTAATTGGTATGATAAGAGCAATTTTTCTTGCTCATTGAAACATTAATCGATATCAAATGCTGATATAAATGTTGATGAGTATTGATCGATAGATATTGATATTCATACGAATGTTGAATATGAACTTGTATACTCACGTTATTTTCATCAAAGACACGAAAAACCAGGGAAGCAAATTTCGAGGGATCGCCATGCGGGAAGAATTGTTTGTAAATTTTAATGAAGCCCTGAAAGTAAAATCCATAGTTCAATCAAGTACAGTGGAATTGAAAGTGCATAGGAATAATGGATATAAAGTGACATTTAATGGTAAATTTGCCTGATCTCTGACCTGCTCCGTGAGTAATCCATCGGGGCAGTCTTTGAGAAAGCCCTTATGCCTGCACAGGTTGTCCAGCAATGTAAAAAATAAAAATTGGAATTGAAATAAAAGAATGAATAATTTTATGGTAGAAGGGGAAGGAAAAAAAAAATATTAACAACATGCTTTTTATAGAGACTGGAAGATGACTTATTCTTCAACAATCCATCAAGGCAATACACAATATACCTTCCTCTTTTTTTTTTTTTCCAAATATAATAAATAGCACTTGGTTTGCGAACGTAATTTTAATTACTTTTTAATGGACAGAAGTACCTTTAGAGTTTTTAAAAGATTGAAAAAAATTTTTTCGTCTGACAATCGTGCTTAATCTCAAATCGAAAGCAATTTAAAAAGTATGAAATGTACATTTTTTTTGTTTCTTATTTTTTTTTTTTTGTTTTTTTTTTGTTTGTTTTTTTTTTTCATAATTCCAACAGACTAATGCTTGTTTTTTTTCTTTTTTTTTTTTTTTGTTAAAGGTCGTTAGAGTATTTAAAAACATGTAATATATCCTTTGTTAAAAAAAAAGAAAAAAAAAAGAAAAAAAAAAGAAAAAAAAAAGAAAAAACAAAGAAGAAAAAAAATTGCAAGTATTCGCGTCTATTTTGTGCATAATCAAAAATCTGTCTCACTCTCCCTCTACTCACTAACATATTCCCAATATGCGCGCGCGTGTGCGTGTGTACGGGTACATATTAGACGTTAAAAAATGTCATTATAACTTTGAACTCCAAGTATACGTGTAATTTAAAGCAGAGATTTTTTCCCAACCCTTCTATTTTTATCCAACAACTATTATTTATATGTAGGAAATGTTAACAAAAAAAAAAATTAACTCACCACTGTCTAATTTCCTTTTCGGTAACTGAAACAAAATAAGAAAGGCTAAATAAAACGAGCTTTCTACAGAATTTTAAGATAAGCTAATTAGATTATAGTTGTACATACGCAAAAATGTAAAATATAAATATTGATTGATGGGTGGAGAGTATTATTGACAGTAATATGGAAATCTTTTATCGGTGTTATTCTGATTCTGATCGTTCGTATCGGTTATGCGTAGCATGTGAAATGCCATAAAATCAAATCACCACACGTAGACTTATTTTAAAATGATAATAATTTTACTTGGACGACGACTGAGCTTTGATTGAGAAAATGCGGACGAATTCATCCCAGCAAATGTCCTTACTTATTACGAATTATTCGAGGCGTAAGAAACTTTATTAAAAATTATTCATTGGCAACTAAATTAAACTCTCTATAATAACTTTGATCTCCTGATTAAATATATATCGAATTTGTCTTACCGTATAAAAACATTGGATATGCAGGAAATATTGAAGATGAAGAATCTGTTCGCTTATCATTAATGTTTAAATTGAGAATTTGTTTTGAAGAACCGAGTGACCAGTTTTATTAGATAAATTATTATATTATTTCTGTCAAGTTTTCTATTGTTATATTAATGCTGTTCAACATTATATGCAAAGTTTTCAATGAAATTTCAATTTTTATTCTTCTTTTTTTAGATTTTAAAATATTTTGATATTATAATGTTAGCGGTAAATAGCCATAATAATTCTACGCAAGTATATCGTAAAGTCAATCTATGTACATTAACCATTATAATAAAAATCAGTTTTTGTAAAATACTTTGTCGTATAATATCATACGTATGATTTATGTTGTTTATATTATAAATATTATTCAATGAAAATCTATTTATAAGTATTCTATATTAATGCATTTCATTGTATCATTCGGTACATCAAATCATTCTTTTTTTTTTTTTTTTTTTTTTTTTTTTTTTTTTTAGAACGTACAAGCGATCTCTAACTAAAAAGATTATATAATTATTTCTGAAAATTTTAAAGTGCTACAGTGTTAATTAACCTTAATTTAAATGATTAAATTTTTTACCGATCGTATTATCCTAATAAAAATTGTTATATCAATATAGTCGAGAACAAAATTAAAAAAAAAAAAAAAAAAAAAGAAAATAAATTAAACAGATAAAAAAGTTTTATTATTATAAGTTATTGTACTGCAGTAATATCAGTTGCACCTGTAAACGCATTAATTTTCAGTTTCTTAAGTAATAGTGTTTAAGCACTTACATAAAAGTATTAAAGTAGACAGAAAAATGAAAAATATCATGTTGAATATCGATTTTTACCCTTACTTCTAAAATAAAATGCTCCATTATGTATTTCCATCTGAATGCACATTGATCTTTTGCAAACTGAGTAATAGTACGGAAGTTTAAGAATAAAGGATATCGTGGACATTAATGATGTTTATACTTTAATCATCATCGTGTTAATCGATGTTAGTTACAATTCAATTATAACTTAAGAAATAATATACATTAGCTTTTTAAGTTTATAATACGATAAGATCAAATGTCTCTTATTATTTTCATATAAACGTATCGAGAAATTAGCTAGTTTCCATTTTATTAAAATTTACAAATTTAAATGAAATAATTCATCGGAGTAATAATAGTTCTGGAAGTAGAATAGAACTTAATCGATATATGTGTATTAGATAAATATTATCTTCATATATATGGTTAACACAATTTAATGATCATATAGTAAATTAAAATTCATTTTAATAATATGCATTTGAATTTTTAAGTCAAGGAATTGAATAGATTAAAGATTAGCGTGAACCTGTAGATTTTTGGATTTTATTAATTGTGGAGATACTTAAAAGTCATATTATAAGGAACTTATGAATTTCACTATGAAGTCACTTATCAATGATACTTTATTATTCGATACTTTATAATAATTTTTCGTATTTGAAAAACATTACTCTAATAAAATGTATTTAATTAAAACGAAGAAATCGTTTAAACAAGCGCATTTATAAATAAAAATTTATTCTCATTTATATTATTTGATTGAAAATTTATTGCTACGTCAAAAGATACATAAAATTTAGTAAAATAACTATCAAGTAGAATCATTTTACGTAATTCTCTTACGAGCATTTACTTATATAATTATTTAGTTGAATATCTGATATGATATATTTCTGGTGTAAAATTTTAATAATTTTCCGGTTTTAAGCTTATGGAAAAATTGAAATTATACTTTCTAAAATTGTCATAAAATTGTAATCCCCTTTCTCTGTTATTCGAAAGCATATATATTTAAAAGTAAAATTTTATTCTGAAAAATGATCCTATGCATATAACAAAAACTAACGTTTAGAGCGCGCGCGCACCCACACATATCGTAAATTGTTATGCATCTTTTCATTTATACACGTATATAGTTATTAATTATCTATATTATTATTAACTTACTGAGTAATTGCAATGGACGTAATAAGTTAGAAATTAAAATTGTTTAAAATTTTTAAAACAAAATGAATGATTAGAAGTAAAAAGATTTTTATAAAGAATAATTAGCAATTACTTATAATTCTTATTTAATATTATTAAATAGTTCGTCCATATTGTTGATATAGATACATTTATTATAATAGTGAACGAAGCGAGTTTATAGAATTTTTTTTGTGCCTATGCAATTAGAATTTTGGGAATAAATATGTGTGGCAGTTGAATGGAAAGAACAGTTTTTCCGCGAAATAAATGAAAAACGTGGAATGTAAAATAATAATTGTACCAGTTCCTTTTATTCATGATTACGACTTTACTACATAATTTGGTAAAAAAGTGAATATCGAATCGAAATTTTGTATTGTTATCAATGTTTGTGTATAAAATTAAAAGAAATGACAGTTCAATTACTGACTCTTGTGACATACTTAATATTTTGCAGATATATTGTTATGTATTCGTTATACAAAAAATAAAATATATTATAATAATATATACATACACAGTTATATATATATATGCAAAAATATATTTTAAATGAAGTGTTATATTCGAGAAAAATAATTTATTATTCAAGTATAAACGAAAAAAAATAAAATTTAATTAAATTAATCAAATCTACGTTTTATTATGACTTTAAAACTTTTTCATATTCCCTTGTTTAAGCAATCGTTAGAGTAGTTTTAATATTATTTTTATTATTATTAATTTTGAATTTATTTTTATAATTTAAAAGGCTTTGCATCTTGAGTCATATGCATATGTATGTATGTATTGTGCATACACTTATGCATTAAAAACACGTAAAATAATGAAATTTTAAATTATTAGCCTTTCTCTTTCTTAATTAAGATATATTTTCATAATATTTTTTAAAGATTTTGAACTATAACTAAGTACTGGAATTACACTTTTTTACTTTCAACTGTGAGTTAAGACAATTTTACGTACTTTGGTTAAAGAAAAAGTTTATCTCTTTTCTCTTAAAATGATTTCACTCGTCAAATATTGAAGTTACTCTTATTGAAAAAATATCGGTTTAATTGATTATTGGTGCTATTAATTATTACTAATACAAGATTTTCTCATACTTTAAACATACTAATAATTTTAAACGTGTTATGAGACGTGGTTTTTGTAAAATTTTCAGAGTAATTTTGAATTTAATTCCATTTCTCAACTTTTTTTTTGAAATATTAGCAAAAAAAGTATTCAAAAATATAATTAATCAATCTTCATTAACAGTGTTCTTTATTCGTTTAAATTAATTTTCTATTATAAGATTTACAAATTTCAAAATAAAAATTTGGACAATTTATAAATAAATATTTGTAATTTAGTTTTACATAAATCGTTTAATATTGAATTTAAAACTTTTAATGTTATTATAAGATTATTTGGTAGCTCTTGTATGATACGCAATTATCGAATATTTTAATTTAGGTTACATATATCAAGCTCCGATTGTCACTAAAATTATATTTCCAAATTAGTAATTTGTTTAAAGTAGCGTTAAAGTTGAAATTAAAAAACAATTATTCTTCTTTAATGCACTACATATAAATACATATAAACGTTTGTAAACAATAGATAAAGAAATTGTAAACGATTTACAAATAGATAAATGCATTTGTAATAAGATATTGTTAAAACTACGAAAGTTTCTACATTTTATAACGATATAAGAAAATATTTGTAACAAAAATTTAAGCGCAATCTCTGCGTGTAAATATTTAATTGAAAAATATTTCATTTTTCTTTCATTACAAATATTATCCAGAAATGAATATTATGAAAGTATAAGAATTCGATAAAAAGTCATGATTTAGGCCAATTACGAATAATCATAAAATTAAAAGGAAATGTAACTTTAACTTTTAACTTTTATTCTCGTGATATTATTTAAAAATTGATCGAATCTGACATTTTCCGGCCTTTTCTTCTCACAGTTATCTCCTCTATCTATACAATAACAGATATACTGAATATAAAATTTGTATATGTTGTATATGTTATACACAACCATGCGTGTAATAAGAAATACAATTGTATAAATTAGAAAAGTTTTCTATGTCTTCCCGTCTGAATTTTTGAAACAAACCGACATTCTTGCGAGTGCTCACACAAATACACACCAATGCAAAAGTGTACCTCTCCCGCGAATATGCATGCACTTTCTTTATAGGCATAGCGACATATAGTTTGATTTTTTTTAGCTGCCTCTTCGATATTACACTTATAAACTATATATATTCTATTCTCTATTGTGTACATGTTTCATAAGGGAATAGTATACATTCACATACATGTATAAGTTTGTGCAGTTGCTGAGTCATTGGACGACGTAAAATAATATACGAGAAAAATCGATGCGCGCTTGGAAAAATATCCGAGTTTATTACAATCCCGATTAGCTCCCTTCTACGCAAGATAACTCACACATTAAGCGCACGTGTTTTCTATTCGCACGCATAGGTGTACGCAAAATTAGAAAGGAAGGCAATACGATG